TTTCTTCAGCTTCAACTTGAACTTGCATATGAACAATTGACTATCTATTCCACAGTCAGCTGCTGGCCTTATTCTGACTGAAGATATTAAGCATCACCTTTGTCTCTTTCCAGAGATGTACTTGATTTGATTCCTGTGTATTCCATTTGGCAAGATCCATGTGTATAGTCACTGTTTCAAAAACAACAACAACAAAAACTTATTGCCATTGAGTCAATTCCAACTCATAGTGACCCTGTTTGGGAGATTTACCCCTGAGGTGGTAAATCTTTATGAAAGTAGGTTTCCCAGTCTTCCTTCTGTAGAGTGGCTGATGGGTTTGAACCACCAACCTTCTGGTTAGCAGTCAAATGCCTTAGGCACTACACCAGCAGAGCAGTTGTTGAAAAACATGTTTGCAATGAATAAGTCATTGCTCTTGCAAAATTCTATCATGCAATTTCCAGTATCATTTCTATCACCAAGGCCCTATTTTCCAACTATCAGTCCATCTTCTTTGTCTCCAACTTTTGCATTCCAAACACCAGTAATTATCAATGAATCTTGATTGCATGTTTGATCAGTTTCAGGCTGCAGAAGTTGATAAAAATCTGTGATTTCTTCATCTTTGGCTTTAGTGGTTGGTGCATAGATTTGAATAATAATCATATTAACTGGTCTTTCTTGTATGAGTATGAATACTATTGTATCACTGATAGTATTGTACTGTAGGATAGATCTCAGAATGTTCTTTTTGATGATGAATGTGAAGCCATTCCTCTTCAATTTGTCATTCTTGCATAGTAGACCATAACTGTCCAATTCAAAATGGCCAATACCAGTCCATTTCAACTCACTAACTGATCTTTTTGAGTCTCATTTTTGACAACTTCCAGTTTTCCTAGGTTCATACTTAGTACAGTCTACATTCCAATTATTAATGGATGTTTGCAGCTGTTTCTTTTCATTTTGAGTCCTGCCACATCAGCAAATGTAGGTTCCAAAAACTTTACTCATTCCACATCAGTAAGGTCAACTCTACTTTGAGTTCTTCATCAATAATATTTTTATTTCCTTCCAATTTGAGTGGCTCATCTTTTGGCACTTTATTAGACAGTGTACCACTGCTATTCATAAGGTTTTCATTGGCCAATTTATTCATGAATAGACAGCCAAATCCTTCTTCCTTGTCTCTTAGTCTGGAAGCTCTGTTGAAATCTCTCCATAATGAGTGACCCTGCTGATATTTGAAATATTGGTGGTATAGTTTCCAGCATCATAGCAACACACAAGCCACCATAATATAACCAACTGACAGATGAGTGATCATCTAAAATATAGAATAGCTAAAGAGAATGGAAGAAACGAGGGAGTAGAAGAGCTGAACTTCTCAATTGTGACATTTCTCAAGCTGAAAGAACTGAAGAAAAAATACAGGCCTTGAGTTGCACCATTGAAGGATAAGAAGCTCTGGTGGTGCAGTGCCTAAGAAATTTGACTGCTACTCAGAAGGCTGATGTTTCAAACTCTTCAGCCACTCCATGGAAGAAAGATGGAGCAATCTACTTCTGTAAAGATTTACTGCCTCAGAAACCCAATGGGGGTTGCTATGAGTCAGAATTGACTTGATGGCAGTGGGTTGGTTTTGTTTTTTGTTTGTTTTGGTTTTTTTGCTTCATGGGCAAAATATTCAGCAACACAGAAAGCATTAAAAGAAGATGGAAGGAAGATGCAGAACACTGTACCAAAAAGAACTGGTTGACATTCAACCATTCATTTCAGGAGGTAGCATATGATCAAGAACAGAAGTACTGAAGGAAGAAGCCCAAGCTTCACTGAAAGAATTGGAAAAATAAATAAATAAGTAAGACTCCAGGAATGGACAGAATAACAATTGAAATATTCAACAAATGGATGCAGCACTTATCTACAGCAAGCAATTTGGAAGACAGCTACCTGGCCAACTGACTGAAAGAGATCAATATTTGTGCCCACCACAAACAAAGGTGATCCAACAGAATGTGGAAATTATTAAACAATATCATTAATATCATATGCAAGTAAAATATTTTTGGAGATAATTCAAAAATGGTTGCAGCAGTGCATTGACTGGGAACTGCCAGAAATTCAAGCTGGATTCAAAAGAGGATGTGGAATGAGGGATATCATTGCTGACGTCAGATGGATCTGACATCAAAGTTTACCAGAAATATGTTTACCTGTGTTTTATTAATTATGTAAAGACATTTGTGTAGATCATAGCAAATTATGGATAATATTGTGAAGAACAGAAATTCCAGAACACTTAATTGTGCTCACGAGGAACCTGTACATAGACCAAGAGGCAATTGTTCAAACAGAAAAAGGGAATACTGTGTGGTTTAAAATCAGGAAAGGTGTGTATCGGGGTTGTATCATTTCACCATACTTAATCAATCTATATGCTGAGTAAATAATCAGCAGTATATGGATTTGAAATTGAAGATTTTTTTTAACCAATTTCTGTAGTCTGAAATTGACCAAATGTGCAATCAAGATGTATTGATTATTACTGGGAATTGGAATGTGAAAGTTGGAAAGAAAGAAGAATCATTTGGTAGTTGGAAAATGTGGTCTTGGTGATAGAAATGATGCTGGAGATTGTATGATAGAATTTTGCAAGCCCAACAAATTATTCATTACAAATACCTTTTTCAACAAAATAAACAGTGGCTCTATATGTGGACCTTGCCAGATGGAATAAACAGGAATCAGATTGACTACATTTATGGAAAGAGGCTGTTCTGGTTACCTAGTGCCACTCTGACAAGAATATACCACAAATGAAATGCCCTTACCAAACAGGAGTTTATTCTCTCATAGTTTGGAGGCTTTAAGCCAAGTTCAAAGTGCCAGGCTCTAGGGGCTGTATGAAAGCCCCTCAACCTTGGGCTTCAGCTCTGTCTCTTGTTCCTGGCCACCTGAAGCTAGAGGCATCTCTTCCCTCAGGCAACTAGTGACTGCTGAGGCTAATAAGCCCAAGGTTGATAAATAAAATGGCACAGTCCTGATGTTACCAAACCACATGGCAGACCATTAATTCAAGTCCATTGTAAGTCCCAAGATCAGCAGAGCATGGCAGGCTGCTGAACAACACCACAGCTACATGCAGGATCCAAGCGTGCCATAAGCTAGAGATCATTCCCCAAGCCTTCTGCTTATATACAGGAAGCAGACCACATCCCTAAGGCAGCTACTCAGCTGCTCAAAGTAGATTCCACCATGGAGTCAATTACCAGTCTCATCATGGGGACTACTACATCCAGCTGCCCAGCCACTCAACCAGGCCCAGCCAAGTTGACACACAAACTGAACCACAGAGGCGATCAATAATATCAGTCAAAACAAGGCAGGAGCTGACCATGAAACAGACCATCAATCGCTCATTTGCAAGCTCAAGTTGAAGCTGAAGACAATTAAAACAAGTCTACAAGAGCAAAAATATGACCTTGAGTATATCCCACCTGCATTTAGAGATATCTGAAGAATAGATTTGATGCAATGAATACCAATGATGGAAAACCAGATGAGTTGTAGGATGACACCAAGAACATCATACGTGAAGAAAGCAAATGGTCATTAAGAAATCAGGAAAGGAAGAAAAGACCAAAATGGATATCAGAAGAGACTGAAACTTGCTGTTGAACAGAGAGTAGCTAAATCAAATGGAAGAAATGACGAGATAAAAGAGCTGAACAGATGATTTCAAAGGGCAGCTCGACAAGACAAAGTAAAGTATTATTAAAAAATGTGCAAAGACCTGGAGTTAGAAACCCAAAATAGAAGAACATGCTTGGCATTTCTCAAGCTGAAAGAAATGAAGAAAAAATTCAAGCCTCAAGTTGCAATATTGAAGGATACACAGTGTCAGAGAAGGTTGTGAGCACAAGAAAATAGTGTTTAGTGCCATTTGAGAGGCACAGAGAGATGAGCAAGTGCTGAAGAGGCAGAGACTCTTTCCCATGAGGGGACTAGGGAGGCTGTGTGGAGAAGGCTGGCAGACTCTATCATCACAGCAGTAGTCAGCAGTCATTGAGGATTGACTGTCTTCCAGGCACTTCAGACACTTGACCTCATTGAGTTCTCACAAGGTGTGTTCCTGCATGACATCTGAAGCTCAGAGAGGTGAAGCAAATTACTCAAGTCACATAGCTCAGAGATCTTTGGACTGGGATTGTAGACCATGTCTGTGGGATTCTAAAGTTCTGTCTCTCTAGTATTTCAAGTGTGTCTATCCTTGATTCCTCCACCAGAGGATTTGCACCCTGAGCAGACTAAAGGAAAAGAAGCTCTCATGAGGAGTGTGTGGCATTTTTCAACTGGCAGGAAAGGATTTAGGATGGTGGATCCCAGGGCTAACCATTGAAACTCTTCTACATAAGGTAATTCCTTCATACAAGACAGTAGTTGCCAGCACCATGGCTTTGTGAGTCAGGACAAATGCTTCTTGGGCCCTCCTTAGGAAATTAGTAGGGAGACATTTCCTGCCCTTCTAGACTGGCCACAAGGGAGGTAGCCTGGCAGTGTTAGAAATATCACTGGCCCTGAAGTTCAGACTCTGACTCTGCCACTTCCGTGTGTAATGATGTTAGATAGGTCATTTCTTTGCACCTGGGTTCCTCATCTGTAGGGTGACCGACCCATCCTAGTCTGCCCAAGACTTACCTGGTTTTAGCACTGAAGGTACTATGTCCCAGGAAAACTCTCAGACCCGTGAAAACCCTTTTGTCTGTGAGATGAGGATAATACTTCCTACCACAGGGTTGGGAGGAATAGAAAGAAGATACATGAAAGCACCTGGGGTGTGGTTGGGTTCTATAATAATTTATTTTTACTTATGCAAAGGGCAGGGTGGGTCGTTGAAGAGGATGACTGTTGTGCCCAATAGCTGACACTTTGACATGTAGACTTAATTCCCATGGGACACCTGAGAACAGAACCTGGAGAGCTTTTTGTTAGTTTCACTTGACCATTTCTACCAGCTATCCTTCTGGAAACATCGCTGTGTGTCAGATTCCCACGTGCTGCCGAGGAAGAGCCATCACCTGGCTCTTTAATGACACACCCAACTTCTCCTTCCTGGCCTTATTCAACACTGAAGGCCAGGGCTGCATTCAGTACAACACAAAGGCCTGGTGAGTGAGTTGTGGGAAGCCTGGCCCCATGGTGAGAGCTTCTGGGGGTGACAGAGGAGGGTACCAAGTGGAACTAGGAATCTCTGGGAAAAGTAGGGGCTTTTCAGTATCTAGAGGTGTAGGAAGACAGGGAGACAGGGCTGAGGTAATACTTGTAAGGAAGTAGGTACTTGGAGTCCAGGCCCTCACTTGCTGGATCCATAGAGCAGCCAGTCAGAATGGCAGCACCCTAAACCCTGCTCCACATGGGTACCTCATGACACCTTGCCCAATGCTGGAACATGCAATCAAGATCTTGAATGTTGGTTAGATTCTTAGAAGAATTTTTTCATGAAGAAAAGTTCTGTAACAGGAATGGGTGAAGGAGAGGTTATAGACACCACCTCTGTAGGGTCTTTTAAGAAAAGCACATAGTTTTGCCTGACAAAGTTTGATTTTTGTCCAGCCTTTCATCAGAAACTTAGATGTACTTTTGTATTATAGATATTCCTGCTCCCAATCTGGTGTCCTGAGATCTTATATCATCATGATCCTGGCACAAATCCCATTTCTTCCCCTCTTGAGTTTGACCTGAGTCCCCACCATCTCCCTCAAACCTGCTCTCCCCCTATATCAAGTGTTCAGGGGCCTCAGATTATACTAGGCTGAAGAAGCAAGGCAACCTGCAGGACTCCAAGTTTCCTCCAGCCTGGGACAGTGTCAGAGCCCTGCCTGTAGAGGTGAAAGCTTTGTTCCATGGCTCAGTGGCAGCTGTTTACTACTGTATCCCTCCTAGCTGTCCATATGTCTTGGTCTTGGATGAGGAAGGTGGAACCACCAATGACCAGAAGGGCTATGTAGTCCACAAGTGGAGCTGGACTTCTAAGACAGAGACGTTGCTCTCCCTAGAATACAAGGTAAGATTAGGCATAACAAGTAGGGCAGAAGTGAGCACCTCCACTGCAGGGAGGGTCTTAGCAAATTTTTCTGTGCTGCCCAGCATTAAAAGCTATAGCAGTACCTAGAAGATAGGGGCCCTGCCCTATCACAGTCTCCTTCAGAGGTTCCCAAGTTGGTGGGTGGTGGTCCAGGGCTGTCTAAAGTGAAATATTCACCAGCCTATAGCAACTGTTGGGATCTCTGGTGGTGTAGGGCCTAAGGCACTACTTGACTGCTAACCAGAAGGCTGGCGGTTCAAACCCACCAGCCACTCCTCGGAAGGAGATTGGACAATCTACTTCTGTAGTTATATTGCCTTGGAAACCCAAGGAGGAGATTGCTATGAGTCGGGATCGACTCCACAGCAGTGAGTTTGGTTTGGTTTAGTTATAGCAACTGTTAAGAAGCTCTGGTGGTATAGGGGTTAAGGCCTTTGGCTGCTAACCAAAAGGCCAGTGGTTCCAACCCACCAGCTGCTCTGCAGAAGAAAGATGAGGCAGTCTGCTTCTATAAAGATTTACAGCCTTGGAAACCCAACGAGGGTCACTAGGAGTCGGAACTGACTTAATGGCAGTGAGTTTGGTTTTGGTTTTATAACAACTGTTAGCCACTCTACTGATCTTTCTTGGTAATGTTGTTGTTATTTGCCGTTGAGTCAGCCCCGACTCATGGCGACCCCTCCTTGGGTTTCCAAGGCTACGGAAGTAGGATTGCCCAACCTTCCTTCCACGGAGTGGCTGGTGGGTTTGAACCACCAGCCTTCTGGTTAGCAGTCAAGTGCCTTAGGCACTATGCTACCAGAGCTCCTTTCTTGGTAATATCCTTCCTAATTTATTCTTATTATTAATATATTCTTTATAGTTAAATGTCTTTTATGAAATAACAATTATAGTAATTGATAGTTTTATTTTTAATGTCTATAGATGTCAATGGGAGCTCTGGTAGCATAGTAGCTAAGGCACTTGACTGCTAACCAGAAGGCTGGCGGTTCAAACCCACCAGCCACTCCTCGAAAGGAAGATGGGGCAATCTATTTCCATAGTGATACTGCCTCGGAAACCCAAGGAGGGGTTGCTATGATTTGGGTCCAACTTGACGGCACATAACAACAACATACATGGCAATAATAAAAGTTTGTTCATTCATCAAATATCAAATAATTATTTAATTATTTCTTTAACTAATGTTAAATAATTTAATTAATTAACAAAGTAATTAATTGTGCTTGTCACTTCACCTAGGGCAGAGTTTCTCATCCTTGATAAATTGCTATTTTGGGCTGAATAACTCTCTGTGATGGGTGCTATCCTGTGCATTCTAGGATGTTTTTCAGCATCCTTGGACTCTACTCATTCGATGCCAGCAATGCCCACTCAGTGTGACAACCAAAAAAAAAAAAAAAACTCCAAACATTACCAAATGTCCTCCAGGGGCAAAATTGTCCTCAATTGAGAAACACTGATCTAGAATCTAGAAAGAGATAAAGAACCCCTCAAGGAACTCAGGAGTCTAGTGGAGTAATAAGAACACAGGTCAACAAGGATGAGTTATGAGAGATGGGCAAGCACATAGGATTGGAATTCAGAGAAAAATCACTGAACATAGAATCAGCTCAAAGTAGTCTCAGATTATGGAGCCAAGGTAATGGTTACCATGGTAGTTCAGTTTGTGTGCCTAGTTGAATGGCTGGGCAGCTGGGTATAGTATTCCCCATGATGAGACTGGTAATCAGCTCCATGGTGGAATCTACTGTGAGCAGCTGAGTAGCTGCCTTAGGGATGTGGTCTGCTTCCTGTATATAAGCAGAAGGCTTGGGGAATGGTCTCTAGCTTATGGCACACTTGGATCCTGCATGTAGCTGTGGTGTTGTTCAGCAGCCTGCCATGCTCTGCTGATCTTGGGACTTACAATGGACTTGAATTAATGGCCTGCCGTGTGATTTGGTAATATCGAGACTGTGCCTTTTTACTTGTCAACCTTGGGCTTGGCAGGCTCAGCAGCCAGCAGCTGTCTGAATGAAGAAAAACCTCTAGCTTCTGTGGGCTGGAAGCTGGAGGCAGAGCTGAAGCCCAAGGTCAAGGGGCTTTCACACAGCCCCTAGAGACTAGCAGTTTGAACTTGGACTTAAAGCCTCCAAATTGTAAGAGGATAAACTCCTGTTTGTTAAGGCCATCCCATTTGTGGTAATTTCTTGTCAGAGCGGTACTAGGGAACCAGAACAGTTACCAAGAGAATCACTGTTAGAGTACATGCAGGGGCTCAAGCATGTACCCTCTAACCCCTGTCTCTTGCCCTTCCTATTCACCCTGTACATTGATCACTTTTTTTTTTCCTAAATCCTACTTTATTTAGATCACACCTCTGCTCAGAAACATTCAATCCCTTGAACATGCCTCATCCTTGCTACCCCCTGGCCTGAAATGCTCCCTCTCTTCTTCTCTGAGAATCCAAACTTGCCTTCCTTCAAGCCCTTCTCAGACTTCCCCTCCTTCGTGGCACCCCAGCCCACACCTATTTCTCTTTTCTCATAGTGCTCACAGACTGTATTACTCATTTCATAATTAGTCATGTAATGACGAAGTTCTCAGCTCTGGCTGCATATCAGAATCACCTGTAGGGCTTTAAAAAACACAGACTCCTAGGCACAGCCGCAGAATGATGCTGATTCAGTTAGTTGGCTTATTGTAAGTTCTGATTTTCTATAGTTTTTAAAAATTCACTAGTGTTTCTGATGCTTGGCTAAGTCTGAGATCCCCAGTCTAAGGTTGTTGAGTTGTCTTAATATTTAACTTTTCATATAGGTATGAAAACTTTATAATCCAAGAAGATTATAACTTAGTTGCAGGCAGGTACCATGTTACGTGTTAATGTAAACAAGTGAAAAGAAAACTGGAATGAGAGTCTGAGGAGTCAAGTACTAGGTGCCAACTTTGGAGATTTTGGTTGAGTAGTTTGTGAAAACCACTTAGCTTCTCTGAGTCTTGGTTGTATCATTTATATACAGTGGGTGATAGGACCTGTCCTCCTGCTTCACAATGCTTTTGTATACGGAAATGGACAACAGGTGCTGGTGCAATCAGGAACAGCCTGGAAGAGAAAGTGGCCCTTGAGTTGTTACATGAGTGTGTATGAGTATTATTCATATAGATAGAGGGGGGATGAAAGGAAGCATATTCTAGGTAGAGGGAGTTGGATCTAAGTGTGGCATCTTTAAAAGTCCACAGGTGTCTTTTGTGAAAGAAAGGTGGGCCTGATATATAAAGGTTGCAAGTTAGGGGTGAGAAGCACTGAATGAAGGCTTAGTATGATGTCTTGGAGGCTGCAGTGGCTAGATTTTTTTTTTCTAACTCAGATATTTACCATTTTTAATGTTCAAGAAGCTCTGATGGTACAGTATCTAAAGCATTTGACTGCTAACCAGAAGGCTGGCAGTTCAAACCCACCAGCCACTCCACAGAAGGAAGACGGGGCAATCTACTCCGTAAAGATTTACAGCCTCGGAAACCCAATAGGGGTCGCTTTGAGTCGGAATCAACTTAATGGCAGTGAGGTGGTTTTTTTTTTGTTTTGTTTTGTTTTTTAGTGTTTTTGATTCCTCCCTGAAAACCAAGGTTCCCTCTGGTATAACTTTCGTTCAGCCTAAAGAACTTTCTTTAGCATATCTTGAAGTACAGATCTGTTGGCAACAAATTCTCTCAATTTTCTTTCATGTGAAAAAATGTCTTTATTGAAGGATATTTTTACTGACTATGGAATTCTAGTTTGACTGTTTTTTTTTTCTTCTTCTTTCAGCACATTCCAATGTATTCTGTCCGTAGTTGATAATGAGAAGTCTATAGATATTCAAATCATTGTCCCAGTTTCTCTAGCTGCTTTGAAGATTTTCTCTTTTCTTGATGAAAGCCTATGTTCAACTATGATGTATCTAAGTGTGGTTGTCTTCATATTTTTTTTCTATTTGGAATTTACTGAGTGTCTTGAATCTGTTAATTCATGCCTTCACTAGATCTGGGAAGTCTTCTGACATTTCCTTAGATATTTTTTTCTCCAATTTCTCTTCTTTTCTTCTGAGACTCCAATTATATGTATTTTAGACATGTAATAGATATTTAGATATATAATAAATGATATATTATTGTATTTTAGATATTGTCCCAAAGGTCTCTGAGATTCTGTTCTTTTTTCAAAAATTTTTTCTTTACTTTTCAGATTATATAATTTCTATTGATTTATATTCAAGTTCACTGACTTTCTTCTGTCATCTCCATTCTGTTATTATGTCTATCCTGCAAAGTTTTTTTTTTCACATTATATATTTTTTAGGTTTAGAGATTATTACATTTAGTTCTTTTTTATATTTTATATTTATCTGCTGAGATTTCCTATTTTTCATTCATTACAAATATAGTTTTCTATACTTTATTGAAAGTAGTTAAATTAACTTGTCTGATAATTCTAACATCTGGGTCATATCTAACAGGGTTGGTTTTTGTTGATTATCTATTGCCTCAAGGATGGGTCACACTTTACTAGTTCTTCACACATCATGTAATTTTGGATTATATTCAGGATATTGTGAGTGTTATGTTGTGGAGATTTTGAATTCTGTTATATTTCTCTGAAAAGAATTGACAGTTTGTTTTAACTGGCAATTAATTTGGTTCAATTCAAACTGCAAACTCCCTCTCTCTTACACTGGGCACTCAAATCTCAGTTCAATTTTCACTTGTTTGTTTGCTCTACCTGTAAGCTGTTTAAAAGGAGCTCTGGTGGCATAGAGGTTGAAGCATTCAGTTGCTAACCAAAAAGGCCTGTAGTTCAAACCTACCAGCTCCTCCTCAGGAGAAACATGAGGCTGTCTGCTTCTGTAAAGATTTGTTGTTGTTGTTGTTATGTGCTTTCGAGTCTGACCCAACTCATAGCAATCCCTCCTTGGGTTGCTGAGGCAGTACACCCTTCTAAACCCTATGGAGAAGTACTACTCTGTCCTATGGGGTTGCTGTGAGTCAGAATCAACTCAATGGCAGTGGATTTCTATGAGAATTTGGCCATGACTATGGTCTGCTTTCAGGCTAAAATTGTGAAACAGAAACTTACCCCATGCTGATCCTTTCTTTTAAGTTTGACCCTCCTTCAAAATCTGCCTGCTTTTGTTTACAGGTACTTGTTTTTTTGTTTTTTTTTTTGCATTTCGTCAGGTTTATTGTTATCTGTGTAAGGGTCAGCCTGTTAGGAGCTGAGTCTGTTATACTGAAAGCAGAACTAGCCAGTTCATTTTTAAGCTGAAGACTGGTATAATCCACTGCCATCGAGTCAATTCTGACTCATAGCAACTCCATAGGGTTTCCAAGGCTGTAAATCTTTACAGAATCAGACTGCCTCATCTTTCTCCCATGGAGTGAATGGTGAGTTTTAACTACCTACCTTCTGGTTAGCACCTCAATGCATTAACCACTGCACTATCAGAAATCCTTAAGGGCTAGTATGATGGGTCAGAATTTGTGTGGAATGTTGGCTAGTGAGGGAGAGAGCAGTGGAGGGTCTTGTGGAAAGACTAGGTGTGGGGCTTCTAGCCAGATCTGATATGATTAAGAGTAGTGGCAATAAGAAAAAATGGGGAAGAGGCTATATTAACAAAATAATAATATGGATTTCATTTACATGCTATACAGGGTAAATGAGAAAGAGGGAATTATAGATGACTCTACAATCCCCAACATATGCATCTAGGTCAGCGATAGTCCTATTGGTGGAAACAGAGAAGCTGGAAAACTGGATCAGTGATTAGTATAGTTTTAGACATGCTGATTGGGCTCAGTGGTCCTGTTTCTCTGGGTGGTTGCAACATGGATCCTGACTTTGAGTGAGAGATTGGAGCTGAAGATAAGGATTTGGAGATGGTAGATATGATGTGACGGGTTGGTTAATGGATGAGTGAGAAGATAAGAAGTGGCTCATATTGGAAAGCACTGTATTTGGAGCATTGGGAGAGATAAGAGAAACTACCTAGGGAGTAATGATAATTAAAAAACAGCTGTACCATCCTACGCCCTTTGCATGTTTTATCTCATGAAACGTTCTCAACACCCTAGGAGAAATATTCTACTCTTGTCCCCAGACTCAGGGAAACTAACCAACTTATCCAAAATTGCTTAAGTGGTAAGTGGTGATACTGGGATTTGAACCCTGTCCAACTTCAGAGCTTGAGCTCTTGACTGTGGCTGTATAGTGCATTCCTCCAGCAGAACAAGAGAGAGTAGGGAATTCTCTTAAGTGAGGATGATTAATTTTGATGATGTCAAGACTTGAGAGGAAGACAGTCATGGATAATTGTTTTCAGGGGCTGGAGAGGACTCGAATGCTGACTGAAGAGTATGAGGAAGAGACTTAATAGTAAGGAAGTTAAGCATAGAATATTGAGACACCAAGTAGAATAACAGAAGGAAATGGAAGGAACAAAGTGGAGACTGTTTACTAAATTCAGATAATTCCTGGCAGTGTTTTTAGGTAGGAGGATATTGTAGATCAAGGAATCCCTTGATCTAGCCAGTCCTCTGGAAGCTGAAGAAAGAAGCATTTCCACTCAGCAGTGTATGGCCACGTACTTGTAAGCCCTTGGATAGGGCCACAGTGTATAAATAACTCACTGCACATGTGAACTATCTTACATGTGAGTCTTCTGGCCTGTCCTGAATATAGTTCCTCATGTTTGGTATAGACTTATGGCTTACAGAGTCACTTCCAACTTTACCTCATTGCCCTAGTCTTTCGACTATTTCTTGCTGAAGAATTCAAGATTCAGAGGCCAAATGGCTAGATAATGAGTCAGAGCTGGGACTCATCCCTAGATCACCAAGTTCTCAGTAAGGAATGAGTTGGTATAATGGCAACTCACTCTCCCTGTGTTCCTACCTGGGACTATTATTTCCAAAATCCTATTGGAAAGTGATGAAAAGGGTAGCTTCTTCTCCTTTTCTCACTGGTCTTTGGTGTTTCCACAGGGAAAGAATAGTAACATATTTGAGTATAAGGGCAGGGACTGAACATGTGTAGCTCATCCCCTGCAGAGTTATTTTTGCTATCTGCCCACTCACCCATAAGTGGGGTACCTTCTGTGCTCCTTGCCATAAAGTCAGCTTCCCAAAGCAGGCTCTGCCTGCTGTAGGGCAAGGCTTGTAGTACGACCTGGTGCTTGAGTACACACAAATTCAGGGGCAAAGGATTAGCTTCTGATCCATGCTGCCTTCTCCAATCCAGCTTGACCAGAAATTAAGCTGTTCACCTCCTGATGTGGTTCTAAACTTGGGTTGGAAAAGGAAGGATCAGGGATAAGGAGACATCAGTTATTTTTCCTGTTAATCCACCAAAGAGAACTAGACTTCTGTCTTTCCCATGAAAGCTAAATTCCAACAAAAGACCTGGAAGGATCTTAAAAATTCTTCAGCCTCAAGCTAAGAGGGGTTTTGTACTTTGTGGTGAATCACAAAGAAGGGGTAGATGGGATAATAGAAGCAGGGGTCCTGTGATCACTTGTTGCTTCACCTGCAGATGAATGAGCAAATGAAGTTGACGGTGCTGGGACAAGACTCCGTAGTGGTGACATTCACCTCCCTAAATGAGACAGTATCACTCACTGTATCAGCCAACAATTGTCCTCATGGGATGACACACGATAAACGGGTAAGGAAAAGCCAAATCACCCAGCTCTAACCCCAAGGCATCTCAGTGTGGGGGCCAATGCACACCTCAATGCTCAAGCTATTCCTCCTGATACAAGGCCCTACCTCTTTCTCTGCTTGATAGACTCCCACTCCTTATTCATGACTTAACATTGGGATTACCTTTTCTGAAACTTCTCATATCAGCTTGGAGTCTTTCAGTTGTAAGTGGCAAGACCCAATGCAGACTGGCTTAAGCATAAAAATAGAATATATTGGCTCAGCAATCAAAAAGTCTGTCAATATCTAGCTTTAGGCATGGATCCAGGTACTCAAATGATTTCATAAAATCTTTCCATCTCTTGACTTTGTTTCCCTCTTTATGAGACTTATTGTCAGGAAGTTTCTATCCTCATGTGACAAGATGCTCATGAGCATCTCTAGGCTATTATTCTACCAGTTTTCATCTCAGGGGAGGAAGGGCTTCTCTTTTGTAAGTGTTGCTGTAAAAGTGCCCACTTCAATGCCCACTGACTCTATTGGCTCCCCACAGCCAAAGCATTCACTGTGGTCAGGATGTCTATTCCTCTTATTGACCAGGCTAGAGTCTTGTGCCTATCCTGGGACCCAACAGGTGACATCAGCCTTAAGCAAACCATCTGGAGTAAGTTTGAGGTGGAAGTATCTCCCTAAAGGAAAAATCATGGTGCTGTTATCAAAAAGAGAAGAAATGGTGTGGACAAAATAACTACCAACATGTGTTGGCATCCCCTCCCCACTGCTCCCTTTCCCACCCATCTCTCCCTCTGCTGGGCCCTTCAGCAGTGACACACCTCTTCTGTTGTTGTTGTTATGTGCCATAGAGTCGGACCCGACTCATTGCAAGCCCTCCTTGGGTTTCTGCGGCGGTATCACTATGAAAGTAGATTGCCAAACCTTCCTTCCAAGGAGTGGCTGGTGGGTTTGAACTACCAGCCTTCTGGTTAGCAGTCAAGTGCCTTAGGCACTATGCTACCAGAACTTTTATTTATGAGTCAAACTCCTCCTCCAAACTGCAAAATCTCTGTGAGTCCTACTAATATCTATTTTCCCCAGAGCCCAGCACAAGAATTGCTTCAATTAAATGCAAAAATGCAACACACCACTGTGGAGTTGGATCCGACTCATAATGACCCCTTCTTGGGTTTCCAAAGTGGTAACACTACAGAAGTAGAATGCCCAACCTTCCTTCCGAGGAGTGGCTGGTACTTATTAAATACTTATTCCACCACTCACCTGTCAGATTATTATACTGTGGTGACTTGTATCTTGCTATGATGCTGGAAGCTATATCACCAGTATTCAAATAACAACAGTGGTACTCATGATGGACAGGTTTCAATGGAGTTTCCAGAGTAAGACAAACTATGAAGAAAGGTCTGGTGATGGTCTACTTATGAAAATTAGCCAGTGAAAACTGTTTGGATCACAACAGAATATTGTCCAATACAGTGCTGAAAGATGAACCCTTAGGTTGGAAGGCACTTCAATAGACACAAAATGGAGTGATAATCATGAAAATGGTGCAGGACAAAGCAACATTCTACTCTGTTGTGCATGTGGTTACCGTGAGTCAGGCTCTGACTTGATGCCAACAAACAACAGCAAAAAATATTTATTGGATGAATGACAAAACAATAGAAACTTCCATTCACTGGCTTTTCATTTACCCTGCTGTGTGCCTGGGTCTGGATCAATATCATGGGGAGAGGAGATGGAGATGGAGAAGATGACCAGCCCACAGCCCTTAATCCCTGAGGAGTGTACTGTCCAGAAGAGAATGCTTGGCACATAACACTGGGGCAAATAAGGACTCAGTGAGATGGTGCAGACCATTCTCATTCCACAAAGGGCCCTCCATTGACACAGCCCCTGAAAAGCACTGGCCCAATCATCCTCACTTTACATAAGGAGACTGAGGCAGGGATTTGTTGGTGCTCAAGGGTATATGAACAAGACCCAGAAAACACCTTGTTTCTCCTAGAGCAACAGACTGCACCTATTTTTTCCCCCACTGAATTTTCAGCAGCATTTCAACTTCATTAATTCATTAACTAATTCAATAAATGTTGATTAGCACTTGCAGTGTGCCAAGTTGACTGAACCTAACCAAACCTACTACCATCAAATCTATTTTGACTCATAGCAACCCTATAGGACAGAGTAGAACTGCCCCAGAGGGTTTCTAAGGCTGTAAATCTTTATGGGAGCTGACTACCACATCTCCCATTGAGTGACTGGTGGGTGCAAAATGCCAACCTTTTGATTGGAAGCAAGCACTTTAACCACTGCACCACCAAGGCTCCTAGATGGCTGATGGGAATGTAGAAATGAAGAAGTTATGCTCCCAGTCATCTCTGAGATACTTTCTATTGGGAGGGGCAAAAACATCATCACCAGTTATAATCCAACTTGATTAGTGTGGTGTGCCAGATAGAGGGGTGCCAGGGATACTGGAGGGCCCAGGAGAGAAAAGTGTTCATTGAAGGAGCCTCAGACGAACTCCTAAGAAATGAAGATGTCAGTGAATTCAACCTGGACTGTCTACTTCAAAGATCAGAATATCTATAGAATTTTTAGTCCATCTGGGTTAACAGAAATGATCAGATTTATGATGACTGCATGCTATCAATTTGGCCCCCTACTATTATTCTAAACATCATTGTTAGGTGGAAACATGCATGCTGTGTATGAGGACACAGATATATTTCTTGAATACCTTTTTGTTGTTGTTGTTTGCCGTCGAGTCGGCCCCGACTCATAGCAACCCCTCCTTGGGTTTCCGAGGTAGTATCACTATGGAAGTAGGATTGCCCAACCTTCCTTCCGAGGAGTGGCTGGTGGGTTTGAACTGCCAGCCTTCTGGTGAGCAGTCAAGTGCCTTAGGCATTATGATACCAGAGCTCCTGAATACCTTTTTAGACTGTGTAAAAATGTAAGTTTACTTTTCTTCTAAAAGGCAATAGATTTTAGAAAAGTATTCATTTTCATAAAATGGCAGTAATGCTGTTTTTCTGGCAGCCCCTAGTCTGGTTATCTCTGAAGTCTGTGTTACAGCTGAAAGACAGGACAGAGCAATTAAAGACCTCATGAACAACCAAGAGAAATCACTCTAAGTCCACGTATTACATATGCTCTCTGGGCTTAGGAAACCACACCACCACCATCCATTGATGTCAAGTCGGCTCTGACTCATGGTAACCCTATGTGTATTGAGTAGAACTGTACTTCACAGAATTTTCAATGGTTGATTTTTCAGAAGTACATTGCCAGGCCTTTCTTCTGAGGCACCTCTGGGTGGACTCAAATACCCAATTTCAGTTAGCAGCCAAGAGCTTTAACTATTTACACCCCCAGGGACTCCATACATAGGAAAGCACCTCAATATTTCAAGTCCCACCTCCCCCAACCTTAAGCAACTACAGTCAGAAGTCCAGAGGTAGACTGTTGTGTCTGGCAGCCACATGCACTTGAAATGTGAATAGTCCAACTGAGATGGGCTGCAAATGAAAATTAACCCAGATTTCAAAGACTTAGTATGAAAAAGAAAATAGAATTTGTTATTAATAATTGTTTATTTAAATTAGGTGTTGAAATGATAATCTTTTTGATCTACTGGGTTAAATAACTATATTATTAAAATCAATTTCACATCTTAAAAATCTTTTTCACATAGACACTAGAATGTTTAAAATTCTATATGTAGCCTGCACTAAAATCGTACTCACTGCCATCGAGTTGGAATCAACTTATAGCGACCCCTCCTTGGGTTTCTGAGGCAGTATTGCTATGGAAGTAGATTGACCAGTGTTTCTTCTGAGGAGCAGCCAGTGGGTTTGAACCACCAGCCTTCTGGTTAGCACTAAAATGCCTTAGGCACTATGCCTTGCTATTCTAGAGGGCAGAGTCCCTGTTATGGGAAGCATGCATTAAGGGAAGCTTATAAAGGCACAAACAGATGAATAAATATCGTATGACTTATTGTGGATGGCAAGAGTTTCCATATGTTGCCTTCACTTTCTGGTTAAGCATCTCAAGATATTTCTATACAAAATCCCTAGCCTCATAAAATTAATTGGCTCAACTGAGATTCTTGGGCTGTGAAAGCTGCAAGGAAACTCTAAGAAAATTTGCTCAGTGTGGGGTTGGTAAAGAGCTTAGGCTAGGAAGAAGCAATAGTCCTTTTCTTTCCCTGTCCTCGGCCCCACTTTCCTCATCTATGTAGAGCTCTGTGAGGTCCTGCTCAGCTTTGACATGCTCCCACTCTTTGACTTTAGCAATCTGTTCAATTGCTACCTTGCATGTGCTTATTTTGGGGCGACTTATCAGTCACCTACCAAATTCCTGGCTACCTAAGAAGGCTGTAGGGGATGGCTTCCTCCCCTCCAAGTTTCTGTCTTGTTATATGGGTTCCCCAGGCAGCCATCACCCTGAAAGAGCCACCCATCAGAATGACAGGCAAAATGGCAGTTGCAGCTTTTACAGCCCTGCAGCCTGGTTCCTCACTAAATATTTCTATCAAAACAGCACTTTGGAAGCGAGGTGATGCCTTAATTTAAATGCTTTATTAGCCTGGAGTGCTACCTCAAATCCATTTAGGAAGCAGCCTGTGTATAAATTACAAGAAAATAAATAAAATTAGCCCAGAAGCAACTGCTAGGACAGACAATCTGAAGGATTGTTGCACCCTTGCTGTTAACTGGGGCATCCTTTACAGAATCCTTGCCTGCAGGGTAAGGAGGAAGCTAGGCTTCTTTGTTGTTCTTCAGAAAATCTGTTCATTACCCATCCCATTCTCCCACTCTCCACCTGACACTAAAATTTTACAGAAGATAATATAGCATATCAGGAGCTCTGATAGCATAGTGGCTAAGACACTTGCCTGCTAACCAGACGGCTGGCGGTTCAAACCCACCAGCCACTCCTCGGAAGGAAGGTTGGGCAATCCTACTTCCATAGTGATACTGCCTAGGAAACCCAAGG